AATAAAAAGTGAGACATCATGGTAACCATTGTAGATCACCTTGAATTGTGGTTTTAAATTATGTACTATGTCCATCCTTTTGTTTTGAATGACCCCATTTTGTTTTGTTTTGTTTTGTTTTGTGACTCATTTGGTTCTATTCTTTTCAAAATAAAAAAACTGTTATTAACAGAGATCCATGTCTCACTAAGTTGACATTTTATTTATTAAGAACCCACTAAATACTTTGAGTGACACATAGAGATACATAGATACAAAAACTTGGGACCTTGTTTTAGGAAATATCAGTAAGCAAAGATGTTACTGCCCATCTTACTCATGAAAAATGGTTATTTCTGCATGACTCAGTTGTTTAGTCTTTTTCTTTCATTGCTTCTTATGTACCTAAACACACAAACCATACCTCTCAAGGAAATCTGGCTTTCCATCTTACAGTCAGATTAGTCTATTTAGTTTAAAACTTGGCAAAAATATCTGCAAGCTACATTTTATTTATCACCCACAAAGACACAAAACCCAGTGAAAGCAACCACTGGATTCTAACAAACAAAGAACAGAGCAGTCAGGCTTTTAAAATTAGTTTTAGTAGTACATTTAGATATGTATAATAGCATTCACTATAGGGAATTTGTGCCTCATATAATGTATCTTGATTCTTCTGTTTTCCCCCTTTCCCTCTTTATTTACAAAAACTTCACTTCCAGTTTTGCCTTCTATTTTCTTTTTTCTCATTTCCTTTCCTTCCCCCTCCCCTCTCCCTAGTACACTTTCCTTTAAATATTTTCTTCTTTTGTCACAATATTTATTATGCATTTTGGTCCCTATGTACCTTCCCAATTTTTCACACTAAGAAACAATGTAATATTTAAACAAAGGGGAATAGCTGGGTCAAAGGAAACATCTAGTTTCAGTTCGTTGAGAAATCTTCACAATCACTACTGTGATTTCCACAGTGGTTGCACCAGGCTACACTCTGACCAACAGCAGAGAAGTGTTCCTTTTCCCCACAGCCCTTGCACTATTTATACTGGTTGGTTCCTTGATGACAATCAATTTTTCTAGAGTGAGGTGGAATTTCAGTATTCTTTTAATCTACAACTCTCAAAAGACCAGTGATGTTGAACATTTTTTCATATATTTATTTGTCATTTGTATTTCTTATCTAAAAAGTATCTATTCATTTCAGATGCCTATTTTTTGACTGAGTCTTTAAATTGGGGGAGATTTGACTGTTTTTAGTTCTTTATATATTCTAAATAATAGTATATTGTCTGCAAAGTAACTGGTAAAAAATTTTTTCCACGCTGTGAGCTGTCTCTTCATTTTGTTGTTGGTTTCTCTTGCGAGGCAAAAGCTTATTAGTAAGGTGAGATCCCACCTTACTTGTTGATTCGTGAGGCATTTCCTGTGTTACTGGGGTTTTGTTCATTGAGTCTTTGCCTACACCTATGTCTTCAAAAGTTCTACCTATTCTATCTGCTATCAGACTAAATGTTTCTACTTTAATAGGTACATCTTTGATTCATTTTGATTTTAATTTAGTATATAGTGAGAAATATGGATCTAATTTTAATCTCTGGCATGTGAAAAGCCAGTTTTTCCAGCACCATGTATTAAAGAGGCTATCTTTCTTCCAGTGAAAGTGTTTGGCACCTGTGTCAAAAATAAACTGGCTGAGGGCCGGTGATATATCTCAGTGGCACAGTGCCTGACTGGCAACTGTGAAGTCCTGAGTTTGATTTCCAATACCCAAAAAAGAGGGAAAAAAAGATAAGGTGAAAAGTAATAAGAACTGTGGGAGTAATAAAACCCAAAATGTGTAATTGTCATTGTACAAAAGAAAGGAAAAGAAAGTTCTCTAAAAGATATAACTGCATATATATTTAAGTGTATAAGATAGATAACCATATTACTGAGATTTGTTGGATCATTGAACAAAACTGTTTGCAGTCTCACTGTTTGAAAGTCCCCTCTATATGCGTTAATTTTGTAACTTCAACAACTATTTGTAAGATGACAATATGTAATTAACTAGTGACTTCCTACTGTTTATCTTTTCTGAAATTCTGTATAACTTGTACCCTTTTTCTGTTTTTTTTTTCTTTTTTCTCCTTAAATAAAATTTAAAAAAAAAAAGATAAGGTGGCTGAGTGTGTTTGGAATTGTTTCTGCATCTTCTAATCTGGCCCATTGATTCGTGGGACTGCTTTTTGCCAGTGCAATGATGTTTTTATCATGGTACTTTGTAGTATAATTTTAGGTCAGGGATTGTGATGCCCCTGCTTTGCCTTTGTTGCCCAGAATTGCTTTTACTATTCTAGGGCTCTTCTGGTTCCATAGGAATTTTAAAATTGTTTTCTCTAGTTCTGTGAGGTAGACTATTGGTATTTTGTTCAAGATTGTGTTAAATCTGTATAACAGTTTTGAAAATATGGTCATTTTCACCATATTGGTTCTTCCTACTCAAAAACAAGGGATAGCCCTCCATTTTCAGATTTCTTCTTCAACCTCCTTTCTCAGAGTACTGTAGTTTTCAGTGTAAAGGTCTTTCAATTCCTTTGTTACATTGATTCTTAAGTATTTCATTTTCTTGATGCTTTTGGAAAAGCATGGTTTCCTTAACTTCTCTATCAGGTGGTTTGTTATTTATTACAGGAATGCTATTGATTTTTGAGTGTTGACTTTGTAACTAGGTATGCTAATGAATTTAGTTATTTAAATCCGGAAGTCTTTTGGTGGGATTTTGAGGGTCTTCTATGTAGAATCTCAAGTCATCAGGAAATAGTGATAATCTAACTTCTTCCTTTCCTGTTCGTATTTCTTTTATTTCTTTCTCTTGTCTGATTGATCTGGCTAATGTTTCCAGAACTATATTGAATAAGAGTGGTGATAGTGGAGATCTTTCTCTTCTGATTTTAAAGTGAAATCTTTCAGTTTTTGAGTACACAGTATGATGTCGGCTATTGGTTTGTCATAGATGGCTTCATCTATTCCAATTTTCTGTAGGATTTTTATCAAGAATGGGTGTTAGACCTTGTCAAAGTTTTTTGTATATCTATTGAAATGATCTTGTGGTTTTTGTCCTTGGTTATGTTAACAAAGCACATGACATTTGCATGACTTGCATATGTAGAAACATCTCTGCATCCCTGAGATGAATTCCACTTAGTCGTGGTATATAATCTTCTTGATGATTTGTTGTATTCTGTTTGCCAGTATCTTATGGAGGATTTTTGTATATATATATTCATCAAGGAGATTAGCTTATGGTTTCTTTTTTGGTTGGATCTTTCTCTAGTTTTGGCAACAGGCTAATGCTTGCTTTGAGGAATGACTTTGGGAGTATTATTTTCCTTTCAATTTTGTTAAAGAGTTTGAGGAGAATCAGCATTCATGAATTCAGGACCTAGGTTTCCCTTTGTTGGTAAGCTTTTAATCACACTGAGAAGTTGAATTTTAAAGCATCCTTTTCTTTACTGGCCTTTGAGGGAGTTAGCAAGTTGCAAAGAATACATGTCAAAAGGTCCCCAAAGTTGTTTTCTGATTCTCTAATCTGGTGTTTAAAACAACATGGAGGTAGGCAAAGTCCAATACTAAGACCTCATTGTACTTTATTTTTCAAAAAGTAAGATTTATGCCCATGTTTTGTACTCTGAGTAACTACTTTTATTTATTTATTTATTTATTTATTTACTTACTTACTTACTTATTTACTTATTTGTACCAGGGATCGAATTCATGACCTTGCACTTGCCAAACAGGCACTTATGCCACTGAGCTAGAACCCTGGCTCTGACTACTTTAAAGATAACAATATGCTACTGTTATTCTACTATTTTGTTATGAAATAACTACTGCTATTCTATTATTTTGTTATGAAATTTTGTTTTATTTTTTCCATAAAATAGAAAAGTAATTATCTGCTTTATATTGTCTAGACTACCAAAAATTGATTTGCAAAACCATTAAGAACTCATTCCAAAACTTCATGGAAAACCTTCCCATCCGAACAAGTGAAAGCGGGACATTAACTTACGGCATGAACCAGAGATGATCCTACCAGAAAACAAAGAGCACCCAGGTGACCCATGTGAAGAAGTTGCTACAGCCCAGGAAAACACCAAGCCCCTGGACAATTCAAGTAATGGGTTGCTAGGCAGAGGGGCTGAAATTGACATCATCTTTCCTAGTATATGAATAAACATGCTGCATTGGTTGAGCAGTTCCTTTCCTCCCATCAGGAGGATTAAGGACTCCACCAGATCCCAGCTTTGTTTTTTCTTTATTTTTCTCATCCTCTCATGGTCCTTAACCCCAAGAACCTCAGGAGCCACATTGGGTCACAGGAAACATGTAGAAAGATGGAGCAAAGCCAGTAGGTTTGATTCAGCCTTAAGGTGGATTTGTGATCACGTCCCCTGCCATAAAGCTGTAGGAATGAAATTTTACCATTCTTACAATTAGTCAGGAATTTTACTCTGACACCTGAGGAGCATTTCCAATATGACACTCTCCTCTACAATATTAGTAATTCTCTTATCAACTAACCCAGATCTGAGATACAAATTAAATACTACATGAAATTAATGGTTGTATCTTTTCTCAAAGTCTAATGCTATAGCAAAGAATTTTAGATAGAGACAAGAGAGGTAGCCATTATTATAGACTGTAGATTTTAGATAGTTGAAAATTTGGTAATTTAAGTTTCTCCTCAGTGGTAGAACTTGACATTATCTGTCAAATAACAAGCAGGCACTGTAATACAGTGGAAAGAATGAGACACTTGGAGTCAGGTAGACATGAGTTCAAATCTCAAGTACCTGAAGTTTTGGAAACATGACATCCCTTCTCTGGGTCTCAGATTCACAAACAATAATGATGTTACAGTTTTATTAAAAGGATAAAAGTAAAGAGTTTGTAAAATAAATACCACAGGCCCCGGTGTACAGTGGAAGTATCAATCTGTCTCCCTCCCCTACTCACACCCAGCAAATTCTTACCTTCCTCCCTGGACTCCCATTATCCCCCTGCACCCATCTTCTCCAAAAACTTGGTATACACCTTGCAGCATGTTCTTTCTACAATTCTGTCCTGAAAAAAAAGAATCCACGTCACATATTACTTTTTCCATTCATTAGCTTATATCACATTATACACTAAAGAGACAAAATTCCTTTAAAAATCATAATTACTAATACCTGGTGAAGGATGATGTTTTTAAAAAAGACTTTCCAGTTGCTTCAGTACAGTGCTTGGGAGGGAATGTAGAATGATGCTCAAATGTTTCACATATGCAAATCCTCTGCCAAATTCTAGCTCCTAGAGCTCTTCTAATTTAGGTACACTTAGGTCAATGACTAGGAGTTCAGAGAATCCTTCAAAATATAGACAAGTGGAAGATTTATTTGCATGCCTTTTTAGTGGTCTGTCTTTATCTCACACAAAGACTTTCATCCATCATTCTGCCATTCCCATAATAAGAAGACAGACAGATATGAGCTGAAACTTATGGGTACTCCACCTGCAAAATTATTTAAGAGTGAGGTTGACACATACCTGCCTAGGGGGAAAAGACCCCGGGTTGACTCAACTAGACCTCATTGTTGTGTGTTTATGGTGCCATGTTGACTTCCCTGGTGAGGGGAGGGCGCCATGTTCATTCCAGCCAAGACAAAAAGACCAAAAACTTCCCTTCTGATGAAGGAGTGTAGTCTCACTGCTGACTGGGGACAAACAAAAGCCCCATTAGGTGCTTTGACTGCATCCTTGATCATGCCCCCAAGTTCCAAGAACATAAAAACAAACTCTGCCCCCCAGCTGCAAGAGCCTTCTCCAATGTGCGTATTTGGATCTTTCTCAAGTGTACAATTCTTGCAGCAAGTGTTGCCACCTCAGGCTCTGACTGCTTCGCTCTTGAGAGTGTATGATCCTTAATCAGTGATTTTCCTTGATAGTGTACCATGCTTGCTACACAATAAAGTTGCTTGCATTTGCTGCCTACTGACTATACATGTTTTCCATGGACCTCCTTCACAGCAAGACAATAAATCCTGCATCTGTCTTGTCTCAAATTTAGTGTTTTTAAAAACCAAGAATTATTCATGGTACACCTACTTGAAGAATTAATCCATACATTTCAACCCCACCAACTGAAAGTTAAGCAGGTAAGTGGGGCTATAAAGGATTCTCACAGTCTCATATCTTCCATTTTTTATTTCATAGATGTTTTCCTGCCCTTATTGTACTATAACACCTAAACCCGTCCCTGAATCTGACTCACCATTTACTCTTAGAAACTGTGGCAATCATTTCAGCTACTCATGAATATTCTGGTTCCCTCCTTAAGGGCAAGCTGGGGTTGTACTTTTTGGGAAAGTTATAAACTTGCAAGGAACCTCAACTCCTCACTGTAATATATCTTAATTTAGAAGTGGACATACAGCTTGATCTGAACAATGAAGTGTAAGAAGTGATGTATGTCACCCCCAGAAAGAAATTCCCAGAGCAGTGCACAATTTGCCCTCTCTCCTTTCACTGGCAAGGCAAGGAAAAACACCTGTCAAGATAGAACATCCTTCCACCTAGGCCCTTCGAGTGCTGAGCAAGAGTATAAGATAAACACATCCGTATCACTTAAGTCACTGAGATGTGGAGGCTGTTTGTTATTTACACTGGGTTCAGGTATTGAAGTTCATCCAGTTCAACCATACAGCAAAGAATAAATGGACAAGGACACCTGAGAAATTCAGCTAGAAACTACTATGTTGGTTGAATGTCAGAACAAATATGACCATGGTTATTTTGAACAGAAAATTCTCAGCAGTACATACGAATCAGCTTCTTGCTGTTATAAACAAACTGTTGGCAATTTTGTGTTTTAAAGTTATGTGCACACTCTTCATTACTCCTTAAAAATAACTTTTTAGCAGTAGAATTGCTGATCTAACATGCAGGCAATGGTTACAGTCTCTTGTCACATACTCAAATAAACAAATCCCTCCCAGAGAAGCTGCAACAATTTAAGCTTACTGGGAAATCTGGAGAGTAAATTCTGCTGGGAGAATGTACACACACACACACACACACACACACACACACACACACAGAGTCCAGCACATACGTAACCAATTGGAAAATAACCCCCAAGAAAACATGGTGACTGTACTCTACCATGGGAGGAGAAGAGCAAAGGGAGCTTGAATAGGTCACGTGCCTGGATCCCGAGTTTGCTTTAGAGTCCTTTTCCTTTTTACGGAACTGGAGTTTGAACCCTAGGCCTTCAAGCTGAGCTACATTTCCAGACCTTTTGATTTTTTATTTTGAGCCAGGCTCTCTCTAAGTCACTGATTAACCCAGGGTTGGCTCAAACTCATGACCCTCCTGCCTCTGCCTCTGGAATGCTGAAGTTACAAAGGTGCCCCACCACATGCTGCTACTTTGGGTGGCACAGAAGGGGAAGGGTCAGGAATCCAGTGGAGGGAGTTAGCATGCACTGAGAGCCACTCAGCTGTCCCTCTCAGTGCCAAGAGCCCAGGCACAGGACAGCATCCACCCAGCTCACCGGGGAGCTAATCTCCAAGATACAGTCTACAGACTTCATGACAGCATTCAGGAAGAAATGGAGAGCAGTTAGAGGGGGACAGCAGTACAAACAAGGCCAGCTTTGGCTGACTCTGGAGTTCAAGAACAAGAGACCAAAGAATTCCTAGGTAACCTAAAACCGCAAGCTGCACCACTGGAGTAGGAGCTGCACCTGCAAACCCCACTATCACCATCACTGTCAAAAGCACATACTGGGCTGATAACTGGCCAGTTCTGTCTGTCCCAGAGATCTGGTGCAGATTTGCTGATAGTGGGAGGTGTTTCTAGGCCCCAAATACCCTCTAACTCACACAGAGGGAGAGTGGGTGTTGCCTTTCTGGGGCTGAGTTCCACTCATCTAGGTGAGTATATAGGAGGCTCCTAAGTCCAGCGCCGGCTCCTATAGGAATGCAGAAGTGCAATGGGAGGGGCCAGGCCCACGGTGGGAGGGGCCAGACCCGCAGCGGGAGGGACCAGTCCCAGGGTAGGACGGGCCAGTCGTGCGGTGGGCAGGGCCAGTGCCCAAGCAATGCCTTACCTGTGCTGCAGAGCTAGAGCCGCTCTGTGATTTCCTTCAGTCTCTCTACATTATCATCCAGTCCATCTGTAAATACTAAGAGGACCTGTTGTTTATGAAAGGGAATGAGGGGCCTGGGGATTTAGCTCAGCGGCATAAGCGCCTCCCTTGCAAGCAGGCAGTCCTGAGTTCGATCCTCAGTACCGATAAAAAGGAAAAAGACAAAAAAAAAAAAAAGAAAGGGAATGAGATGAGAGTGGGGAAACAAAGGGAAGACAAAGAGAGGGTAGAGACAACTGTAGTGGCGAGGAACATAGAGGAGAGGAAATGGAAAAAATGAATGCTGTGGATTGTGTATCCCTTCAAAATACAAGAGAGAATTTTTCTAATTATGCCCAGGTTTTCACCTTGCTTTCTTGCACATTTATTACTTTACAACACATTCATTTTTAATTTTAACCTCCCCATTCCTCTGGAGAAGAAGAGGATTTGCAGCTTAGCCTCTTCCCAAAACTGTCATATAATAGCCATCTTTATCATGCAAAATATCAAGAAGTTAATAGTGGCTTGGGGGAAGAGACAACTAGTTGGGAATAGTTGTCACTATTTTCTGTTACATGTTTTAATGTATCATCTGCGGTTAAAATGTGTTGCTTTTACTCAGAAATTTTTACTGTAAAACAAATTCGTCAAGAAATAAAAATCCACTGGATGCATGATTGCAGGAAAAGCTAAAAGAGAATCACAGATCTTAACACAAAATCTTTTTATTTCTGTGGACTTGAGGGCACACGGTTCAGAGAGGAAGGGGCTTGGGTATGCTGTCCTAAAGTGCCACTGTCACTAGAGATAGGTGTAGCTGTTGAATAGAAAAACAGAGAGGCATCTTTAACAATGAGTGACAAAGTAAGAAGCCTTAAAACCTCCATGTTGTCTTTGGGATGAATTTATGACACAGGAAAATTCTGTCCCTCAGCTGTGTACAGTTTGAGAGCAGGAACTTCATCCTTTCATTCCTACTGACATTATTCTGGGGCTTCATAAGTAGTTGCTGATTGAATGAAGACACATCCCTTATTGATTCTGAGTCTAATTTTCTTCTTATATAAACTATCAGTAAAGATCAGTTGAGTTGGAATTGGCCACAATTTCAAAGGTCTTTTCTACCCTTCCCTCCCTGATAGCTCTGTCATTGTTTATGTCTGTGGCCCAAGTCCTCATGAGTTTTGTGCATTTGTTATTCGTTCATTGTCTAGTGCTTGGATTGATGGTGTCAGTGCTATACCCACAAAGGGGTGGAGCCAGGATGTGATGTAATGGCAGGAAGAAGGTGTGTCTTACTCTTTGCTGGTTCCTGTTTGCTGTTTGCAGCCGCCATGAACTGCGGCCCAGCCATGCCCGCCTGCCTTGGAGCCAACTGAGTGTGGACTGAAACCTCCAAAAACTGTAAGAAATAAACCTTTCCTTTCCCAACTTTGGGCTTCAGGTATTTTGTCTCAGAAACGAGTGAAAAGTAACTAAGACAGGGCTGGGGATTTAGCTCAGCGGCATAAGCACCTGCCTTGCAAGCAGGCAGTTGTGAGTTCGATCCCCAGTACCGATAAAAAAGAAAAAGACAAAAAAAAAAAAAAAAAAGTAACTAAGACAAGCTCCATAGCATGGGTTCTCAGAAATATTACCTTCACTTTAGCAGAAGAGGAATGGAGTGCGTTATCTCCCAAGGACTGCAAAAAGTCTACATCCATATGGTTGTTTGTGGAAGCCTGATACATCAAGAACTTCTGGATGACCTCCTCACTGTGTGTCTCAAAACCTGAGTCAAAGATAAACTGGCCATTGGAACCAGAAACTAAGCAGCAGGACCTTGGGTTGATTGAACCAGGAATATCACAGCTGATGTTAGAAAACAAAGACTACCATTGCATCAGCTCCGGCAGCGACCTTCGAAGAGTTTGCTGAATGTGGTCTGAGGTAGTTGAAATGTCAATACCTA